ACATTCAAATTCTTGAATTCTTCTAGGAGTTTCCACTCCATCACCATTAAGCTTGCTAAAGTGCCAGTTGATTTTCTGCTAAGTGCATCTGCAACAACATTTCCCTTTCCAGGTTGATAGACAATTTTGCATCTATAGTCATTCAGATACTCCATCCATCTTCTTTGTCTCAAGTTAAGCTCTTTTTGTGAAAATAAATATTTCAAGCTTTGGTGATCAGTGTGCACCTCAAACTCTTCTCCATACAAAAAGTGCCTCCACAACTTAAGTGCAAAAATTATGGCAACAAGTTCTAAATCATGTGTAGGGTAATTCCACCCATGTGTCTTGAGCTGTCTAGACCCATAAGCTATCACCCGTCCATGTTGCATAAGTACACAACCCAAGCCTTTGTGAGAAGCATCGGTATATACCACAAAGTTTCCTCCATTGTCGGGAATAGCAAGAATGGGTGCTGTGACCAACCTGTTCTTCAACTCTTGAAAGCTTTGCTCACATTTATCTGTTCATTCAAACTTCTGATTCTTACGAGTAAGTTGTGTTAACGGACCAGAAATCTTTGAATATCCCTCCACAAACCTTCTATAATATCCTGCTAGTTCAAGAAAACTCCGCACTTCGGTGACACTAGTCGGCCTTTCCCACTTCACAACTGCTTCCACTTTACTAGGATTAATTGATATGCCATCCTTCGAGACAATATGACCTAGAAAACTAATCTGATTCAGCCAAAACTCACACTTATCAAACTTGGCATATAACTTCTTTTCTCGCAGAATCTGCAATACAATGGCAAGATGCTCCTTGTGGCTCTCTTCATCAGGAGAAAAGATAAGAATGTCATCAATGAAGACAATGACAAACTTATCTAAGTACAGCTGAAAGATCCTATTCATAAGATCCATAAAAGCTGCAAGGGCATTGGTTAGACCAAACGGCATTACCAGGAACTCGTAGTGCCCATATCTGCTCCTAAAAGCAATCTTCATCACATCCTTGGGTTTAACCTTTAGCTGATAATAACCCAATCTAAGATCAATTTTGGAAAAGACATGAGCCCCTTGTAACTGATCAAACAAATCATCAATCCTTGGCAAAGGATATTTATTCTTGACGGTGACTCGATTCAACCGTCTATAGTCAATGCACAATCTAAGTGAGCCATCTTTGTTTTTCACAAAAAGAACTGGAGCACCCCAGGGAGAAGTACTGATTCTAATGAACCCCTTATCAAGAAGCTCTAGCAACTGCTTTTTCAATTCAATTAATTCTGCTGGGGCCATTCTATAAGGTTGTTGGGATATTGGTTGTCATGCCCCAAAACCCGAATTCGAGGCGCGATAGACGCCGTACACTCATGAGACGGGTCCCACAAGTGCACAAGGCTCGGAACTTATCTAACTCACATCTGATACCACCAAAAACTGAAGATCAAATCTTATAATTTGCTCTAATATCATAAATCTCCAATTAAAATCTCCAAATACAAGATCAGGATTAATATCTAAAATCTATATCACTTTACAAAATGGCTAGCCTTCTAACTCGTCACTTCCCGTGGTTTCCCCGTCCTCGGTTTCGTTTCCTGAAATGATGGACAAGGAAAAACTATGAGATAAACTCAATAAGTAAAATATGGAGTGCCCTTTATCAAACTTAAAGCATGCCAACAAGTATAATCACGAAAAACAGATACAATACGGGAACGAAATAGACGTCTCCTCTATAGGTCACGACTAGTGTTATAAACCTCCCACTGGCAGGCACACGATTTACTAGTGTATAATCCCCACTAGCAGGGTCACTGAACGAACCGGCTCTATCACTAACATGTCGACATGTACTAGCGTTTATAAACTCCCCCACTAGCAGGGTCACTAATAACATGACCACATCGGAGACAAAACAGGCTGAAGTTAACAGAAAAATCATAATTCACTAATCACTCTCAAATCATCAGGACAATCAATTAAATTTCAAGTAGGCATGCTCAATTTAATGAAAAACATAAACATTTCACTGCAAATCAGTCATGCTCGTATAAAACGGGTTTAGTCCCGCCACCACTTCAAAAACAAATCAAAACATGCGTGTAAAACAATACGGGCATTACCATAAATTTACTTACCTCACTCGCATAAAACCGAGCACTCAATTCACGTACTAACTGACAGAACGATCGGGAACCTAATCAAAATATTCCAAGGATTAATTACCGTACTATCACGAATTCAACTGAAATCATCATTACGATTATCCCTAATCACGATGCTATTTCTATCAATCTCCACATTACCGGACATCTCCAAATTCATTCTTATATCACAAACTAATCATTTAAATCCCCGTTAATTGCTGACCCTCGGTGTGTGAACAGTAATCTATGAACAGTGCCATGAACAGTAACCACGACGTGAACAGTAACTTCAACTTCCAAAATTGGCCAAAACACTAGCTAATCACGGGGTTTTCTCCAAAAATCACACAGCAGTCAATTAACACTCAATCACATAAATTCCACTTCAATTAAGCTAAATCATGGTCCTAAAGCTACCGGAATTTCCCCCATTTTTCTAGCAAAATTCGGACAGCAGAGGCAGCACATAAATGGCTAAATTTAGGCTTAAAGAGCTGCCACATACCAGAATTTGCAAGCAAAGAAACCGGACTGCAAGTTGGGGAAGTTGCCGGCGGCATGGAAGAAGAAAGCTCACGGCTTTAACCCAAAATTCAAGGAAATAAGGGCAATTAACATAAACCCAAGGCAATCAAAGCTAGAGAAGGGAGATTCATGGCTGTTTCTTACCCAAAATCGGAGCAAATCACCCCCACAAAGTAGGAGCAGCCGGCGGACAGAGCAAAACAGAGCAGGGCAGATCCAGATCTCCAGCAGAAAGGGAGAGATTTTTGGGTTCCAAATTAGGTTCTTGGACAAGAAAAGAAAGCCAAAACCAAAGCTCTCTACTGGTTTCCCAAAGGAAGGCTGGGTTCCATTTTTTTCTCTCTTTCGGATGGCTGCAGCGGGAGGGAAGAAAAAGAAGAGCAGAATCGGGCTGGAGAAGAAAGAGGAAAAGGGAGAAAAGAAATAAGCCATCCTTATCCAAAATCTTTCCCTCTTTAAGTCCTTCAACTTTCAAACTTTGGCTATTAAGCCCAAAACAATATTTCTTTCTTAAACAAGTCCCTAACTCACTTAAATATTCTAGAAAATTTTGGGGTATTACATTGGTGCAGTACCAAGCACAAGGTCTATAGTAAACTCAATCTCCCTATTTGGAGGTAACCCAGGCAACTCCTTAGGGAAAACATCAGGAAAGTCTTCCACTACCCAAATTCCTTCTACAGACACTGCTTTGTCTTTAGATTCAAAAACATATGCCAGATATCCATAACACTCATGCTGCAACATTTTATCAGCTTGCATGGAAGAGACAAGTAATGGAAATGATCTAACTTTTTCTCCTTCAAACCGAATCACAGGCTGGTTAGGAGCAGAAAAAGTAACCACCTTCTCATAACAATCAACCATGGCATAATGGGTAGACAACCAATCCATACCAAGTATGACATCAAATTCCACTATGCCTAACAAAATAAAATCGGCAAGCAAAACTCTACCCTCTACCATAACTCTACAAGATCTATAAATGGTTTTTGATGTTAAAACCTCCTTAGAAGGAGTATTCACCACAAGCACACAATCAAGGGTCTCATGCTCCACATGCAAAAATGGCACATACTTAGGTGACACAAATGAGTGGGTAGATCCAGAGTCAATCAACACATGGGCATTCCCAAAAGAGATAGGTATTTTACCTTTTATAACTGTAGGAGTGTTTTGAGCTTGTTGTTCTGTGATGGCAAAAACTTTTCCTTGAACCCTGGGCTTCTTATTATCTTGATCCTTTAGTTGCTGACTTGCTCCCTTGAGAATCGGGCAATCCTTGATCAAGTGGTCAGTCTTCCCACACTTGAAACATGCCCCAGTCTGCCAATAACATTCTTTTCCCTCATGGTTCTTATCGCACCTCTTACAAAATCAAAACTTGGTCTGTTGCTTTCGGGGATCTTCCTTTTTCCCCTTTGTTCAGGCTTCTTGTTGAAAGGCTGGTTGTTGATAGCCTTTCCCTTGCCTTTTGAGTCATGAGTCTCCATTTTTTGCTGCTCCATATCTTGCTCAATTATTTGAGCCATGGCCAAGACCTCATCATAAGTCTTAGCATTTGAGGAACCACCTTGTTCCTAATGGAAGCTTTCAACCCTCTTTGAAACTTCCTTGCCTTCCTAACTTCATCATTAACAAGGTGAGGAGCAAACTTCATAAGAGAACTGAATTTAGCTTGATACTCATCAACTGGCATGTCATCTTGCTTCAAATTCATGAACTCCAGTTTCTTTCTTTCCAACACAGCTGCAGAAAAATATTTTCGATAGAAGGCTTGAACAAACTTGTCTCATGTAACCTCCTCCCCTCTCTTAGAAAACCCATCTTGAGCAGCTGTCCACCAATCATCAGCTTCACCTTCTAATGGGAACACTGCTAGCTCTACTTTTTGCCCATCAGTACATTTCAGGAGCTTGAACATCTTTTCTAATTTCTTAACCCAAGACTCAGCCACATCGGGATCAGGAACTCCCTTGAAGCTAGGCGGGTTCGTGTTCTGAAATTGCTTCACCAATGTCAACTGCTCATTTCCTTCAGTAGAGTCCACTGTTTGCTGTGAATTGCCACCAGTGTTTTGTGGGGCATTGTTGTTGTTCTAATGTTGAAGATAATCCCTAAAGATGGAACTCATATCCGTAATGGCCTTTTGCATTATGTCCATTCGGGCATTCACGTCATCAATAGGAGGAGTAGAAGTATTGTCTCCTTAACTCATCTTTCTTCTCTGGTACTGATACAAACAAAGAGTGCAAAACTAATAGTTAGGCAAAATCTAATCCTATGACACTAGACTCTAACTCATATGGCAGATCAATATATTAGCAAAACCTTGGCTCTGATACCAAAAATATAACACACCTCCCTAGGCACTTTTAGTCCTAGAAGAGTTCGGCAACAAATTTTATAGTAAAAAATTGCAGCGAAAGTAAAAACACTTATAATATAAAATATTTCTTCAAAAGAAAGCCTGTATTCAGAAAATCAATTTAATAAAAAGAATATCAATATATATATTGGAAAATGCCAAAATATTCAAGGTTATAAAATAAACCGAGCTAAGCTCATTTATAATTAATTTAAAGATTTTATACATAAAGGTAATTTACACAAAAATTATATGAGGCAAATTCTTCTCCAAAGCTTTTCAAAAAAACAAAGGCTGAGTCATTGTTTTGGTAACACATCGATCTGCTTCCCTATCAAAAACACGAGGCCCTAGCTTGCACATACAACGAGCATGCAAGTCCCGTGCCAAAAGCTCTTAAACCGAGAGGCTGCTACCTCGATCTACTGATCTGAAATGGGGGGGGAATTTTATGAGCTAACAGCCCATTAAGTAATAAGTTTAAGCTATAAACTTGGGTCTTAAGACCTTTAGACCTATCCACACAAAGAGCATAAGACACAACGAAATCAAATCACATAATATTATAATTCTTACTATTTAAATAATAACTTAATATCTCAAATCATAAGCACAAATGTCAAGGAATAATCAATGACATTTAAATTGAATTCATATACTAAAATCATATGCTCACAAATACGATGTCACAAGTGCAATGCATAAAATCGAAAATCACACAATGCTATGGAGTCCACTAAGGTGTGCTAGCAACACTGTACCAGAGCTAATCACAGTACTAACCCTACTGCGCAGAGGTCCACTAAATACCCCGAAGGGTCCGCTGAATACCCCAAACTTTAAGCTTAGGTCCACTTACTCCATAACCACAAACACATACGCATGTAAAAAAAATTCATAATATGTCCAAAATAATATTAGGACTTCCTATTGAAAGAGATCAAAGCATAATCCATAGCCACAAACACATACGCATGTCAAAAAAATTCATAATATGTCCAAAATAATATTAGGACTTCCTATTGAAAGAGATCAAAGCATAATGCGTGAACAGTAATCGTGAACAGTAATCGTGAACATTAATTGTGAACAGTAATCGTGAACAGTAATTCGTAAACAGTACAATTTACTTATAATTCCTGCAGCAAAAATTCACACCCAAATCAAACATAAAAAAGACTAATTCACTGTCTTTCCCATATAAGCCCCAAAATTAAGGATATTTCTAATAAAATTTTAATACCCAAAAATCTTATAAACCAAAGAATTAGAGTCAAATCTCACCAATTTAAACTACTCAAAACTCTAACCCAAAATTCATAACTAAAACTTATACTTACCTAACAAAAGATACCTTAACCTTGGTTGGAGAAAGAAAGAAGAAAAGGATGTAAGTGGAAGAGGAAGGCATAGGAAAACAAAATGGGGCTTTTGGGAGCCTTCAGGAGGCTTATCCAAGCTTCCACTGACAAAGAAAAAAAACTTGGTTGGGACAATGCCATGTGGTAAGCAAAATTGGGATAATTGAGTTATGGTCATTCAACTTCTACTAAGTTTTACTTAAAACCCCCAAACTTTAAATTCAATCAATTTAATCCCTAAAACTATAAACTAAAGGACACTAATTTTTAAATTATTCACTAAGGTATGTGGGGTGTTACACTTTCAGTTTGCATGCATAAAATTATGTTAGAGGAGGGGCATAAGCCGATTGTTCAGCCTCAAAGACGCCTTAATCCTAACATGCAAGAGGTGGTCAAAAAGGAGGTAATCAAATGGTTGGATGGATGTATTATTTTTCCTATCTCTGATAGTACTTGGGTAAGTCCTGTGCAAGTAGTGCCTAAAAAAGATGGGACAACTATGGTAAAAAATGAAAATGATGAATTAATTCCCACTAGAACAATAACAGGGTGGAGATTCTATATAGATTATAGGAAACTTAATGAAGCTACTAGGAAAGACCATTATCCATTGCCATTTATTGATCAAACGATTGAGAAACTTGCTAGACATGAATATTATTGTTTTTTGGATGGTTATTCTGATTATCATCAAATTCCTATTGCCCTAGAGGACCAAGAAAAAACAACATTTACCTGCCTATATGGTACTTTTGCTTTTAGACGAATGCCTTTTGGTTTGTGCAACGCTCCAAGTACGTTTGAAAGATGCTTAATGTCTTTATTTGCTAAATTTGTTAATGAGTTCATGGAAATTGTTATGGATGATTTTTCAGTTTTTGGCTCTTCATTTGATGCATGCTTACATAATCTATCTAGGGTGCTTAGAAGATGTGAGGAAACTAATCTAGTCTTAAATTGGGAAAAATGCCATTTTATGGTTAGGGAAGGTATAGTGCTAGGTCATAAAGTATCCTCTAAGGGTATTGTAGTTGATAGAGCTAAAGTTGAGGTAATTGAAAAGCTTGCTCCTCCTAAATCAATTAAAAAAGTTAGAGGTTTTTTTGGACATGCTGGTTTTTATAGGAGATTTATTAAGGACTTCTCAAAAATTGCTAAGCCTCTTACTAATCTCTTGGTTAAGGAAACACCATTTTTCTTTGATGATGATTGTATGAATGCTTTTCAATTGTTGAAAGAGAAACTGGTTAATGCTCTTATTGTTGTTGCACCTTGTTGGGATTTGCCTTTTGAGATAATGTGTGATGTTAGCAATGATGCTTTAGGTGCAGTTTTTGGACAAAGAAAATATAGGAAATTTCACACCGTTTATTATGCAAGTAGGACAATGAATGATGCTCAAAAGAATTACACTACTATTGAAAAAGAGTTGCTCGCTGTCGTGTTAGCTTTTGAAAACTTTAGGCCTTATCTAATTTTGTCCAAGGTGATTGTTTATACTGATCATTTCGTACTTAAATATCTGCTTGCTAAAAAGGATGCAAAACCTAGGTTGTTGAGATGGATTTTGTTGTTGCAAGAGTTTGACTTAGAAATTAAGGATAGAAAAGGTGTAGAAAATTCTGTTGCTGATCATTTGTCTAGGTTAGATAAGGTGCATGTGGAATGTGGGGATGATCAACCTTTACTTGATGAGTTTCCAGATGAGCAATTGTGTTTAGTTTCTTTGTGTGCTCTTTCTTCTTTACATTGGTATGCAGATTTTGTTAATTATCTTGTGAGTAATTTCTTACCTCCTAACTTATCTTTTCAACAGAAAAAGAAGTTCTTTTCTGATATTAAACATTATTTATGGGAGGAACCATTTCTTTACAAGATATGTGGTAATGGAATGATTCGGAGATGTGTACCACAAGAAAAGGTAGATGCAATCTTGAGTTTTTGTCATGACAAAGAAAGCTGGTAGTCATTTTGGTGCCTCCAAAATAGCATCTAAGGTTTTGCAATGTGGTTTTATTAGCCTTCTTTATTTAAAGATGCTTATGCTTATGTGAGTGCATGTGACCAATGCCAAAGAACTGGTAATATTTCTAGGAGACATGAAATGCCTTTGACTAATATTTTGGTGTGTGATATATTTGATGTTTGGGGCATAGATTTCATGGGTCCTTTTCCTTCATCTTTTGGCAAAGCATATATTCTTGTTGCGGTAGATTATGTGAGTAAATGGGTAAAGGCTGTTGCATGTTCTACTAATGATGTTAGGGTGGTTGTTAAATTTTTGAAGAGTAATATTTTTACTAGATTTAGCACACCTAGGGCTGTCATTAGTGATGGAGGTAAACACTTTTGTAATAAGCAATTTGAAAATTTATTGGCTAAATATGGTGTTACCCATAAAATTGCTACTCCATATCACCC